TAGGTTCTACCGTTAAAAAGTTCGTTAAGTGATACATCTCATGTTTATATTTTCTTAATTTTTTTTAAAATAAAATATTGTCTAAAAATATTTGTTTTAAATCTAAATGTGGCCCGTGACACTTAATTGTTTTTTTAATGGTAGTCACCTAACAGTATAACGGAGAAAACGTTAGACACATATTTTTAATAAAATTATTTTAGACCCCAAAATCCATTTCTAAATATAGTTTAGGTACTTATTTTTATATTAAACCTAAAAAAATTATTATTCAAGGGGTATTATAATCCAAAAGGTGTCTGAATTATACAATAACTAAGAAATTGATGGAGATAATATTCTCAAAATTCGAAGAAAAACATTATTATTGATAAAAGATTATTATCCAGAGAGAATAATGTTAAACCTAACGTGAAAATATGATTATGAAAAAAATATGACTTAATAATATTTTTCCTTGAATTAAACAAACCCTAAATATATTAATTGTTTTTACATAAAACATCAAATAAAGCATTAAAGATGGTTTTTTTTATAGAAAGCAACTAATTTTATTCAAAATAGGAAATATGTCAAATTTCAATAAAAATTTACAATCACAATACTAAATTAGGCAATGACAAATGTCGTTTTGATGTCAAAATAAATTCATTCTTCTCAATTAATAAATAAAGGAAATCATAGTAAAGAGAAGTAAGGGTCGATCCTCAGGGACTTAGAAAATTCTAAATTTATGTTTTAATGGTTTAAACCAGGAGATAAGTAGTAAAAAATGGGGTTGGTAAAAATATATTAAATAGTAAAAATATATTGAATAAAAGGCAATTTAAAGTGAAAATAAGAAATTAAGGAATGTAACGTTGAAAATGAATGTGGTAAAAACAGCCTCAAGCCTCGCTTTGACTCAATTTCCTTCAGATCATCGAACTAGATTTTCTCTTCGGGATTCACGTCGGTTACTTTGTTTATAAGGGCAATCCTCGTGACTCCATTGTGTATACAGAATACCCAAGGCAATATTTGATTCCAGCTTCGGAAACTGATATGATCAACATCAATTTTTGTAGATCAATTATCGTTTAAGTTTATGACGACCGATTCGGATTGTTGTTTCAATAACCATTAATTCCGATCTCAATTCCCTCTTGGCAAGGCTATCTCACCAAGTGTGTTCCCAGGAAGTCGATTGTGCTTTCAATAAGCCGATCATTCCTCCCACACATTTAATCGCAACAACATCTTGACCAAAGTCAATCTTTGATTTCGAAAACAATTTTGATTTTGAAAAAAAAAACATAGAGATTGAGAGAGATATTCCGAAGTTAATAAGGGTCTTTTTCAATTCTCCTGTTGGAATTGAGTTATCCCTTCAGCTCTCGGCTTATGAGAAAATTAGCTAAGCATGACAACAGTCATACTTAGTATATTTAAAAACAAAGCTTAAAAATAAAGGAAAAATCTGAAAACTTGAAAATAAAATAAAGGAGAGAACTATTATAAAACTAGAAATGAGAAGAAAATTGTAATATGAGTTGTGAATTTTGGCTTATCCCAAGAGGGTATTTATAGCCTCAAAAAAACCAAGAGATAAACAAATAAATTAAAATTAAAATAATCCTAAAGATAAATGTTTTCTAAATTCAAACTTCAAAATAAGTCTCCTAATGCAACTCTGTCCGTCCATCTTTCAGAAGGCGCGATGACAAGATCTTCGAGAAAACTGTCGCTAACTGGACCTTCTAGAAACTGCCACGTCAGACCGTGTCATGCCCAGAGTCATGCTCATGTCTCCAACTGTGACCAAATAATAAAACAAATGCAGAATGCATCCGTTTTACTACTAATTCTAAAGAGTAAGACCCTGCACGAAAATAAGCATAACACAACCAAATCAGCAGCAATAAATCCATAAGATCAAAGAATTAACAAGCAAATATTACCGATTCAGAACACTCATCAGGCACATAATTAGGAAAAATTTCTATAATCATTGAAATAAAACTAGAAACTTAAGATCACATAAGGACCATGCAATGAAAGATTAAAAATCTAACCAAGAAACTCGAACAAAGATATATACAATTAGATATAATCGCATTGGCAAATGAACCAAAAAAAGGAGTCAAGCTATTGAAAGACCATCGAAAAATCGTAAATTAGACTCGAGCGACGTGAAAAGCTATCCATGAACACAATTCGAGTACCAAAATCCAATATGAGGGTCAAAATCATGGAAGATCAACAATATATCAGATAAGCATAATCTTGATCAGTCGTGGCAATATCAAATCAACCCTTAGAAAAAGATAAATAAAAACGGATGCAATGATCGAAAAACATGCCAAAAGACATAAGAAAACGTGTCATAAAGACAAATGAAAATGTGTCATACATGAAGACTCATTGAAAACAAAAATAAAAAAAGAAAATAGAGATATAATATAAGAAAAGAAAAGACAATAAAGAATATTGGCGGTCAGCAACCAACATTACAGTTGGTGCCGTCGTCGATTAACAAAGATGAAAAAAAAAGATAAGCGACACACCAATGAAAGAAAATTAGATTTTTTTCAATGAAAGGAAACTTGATACTATTCTAATTTAAATTCAACCAGTTAAGAGATTGTTACTTTTAATGTTCTTATTCTTAAAAAATGTCTTCAACTCTCAAAGGTTAAAGGTTATATTGAAGATGCTAATTATTATAGCAAAAAAAAAAGATTATATTTAATTTGTTGCTTTTGTTTTGTATTTATTTGATCCATGTTATATATAATTGTATTATTTGATATACTAGCAATGAAATTTTTTTCTTCATAAGTTGTTTTAGTTATTATCATATTGTCTTAATTAATAATTAAACAAGTAAATAGAACACATGGCATGACAATGAATTTTAATCACATGTAGAGAAAAAATCTAATAGTAAATAGTAAGTAATATAACAAGTCAACAATAAATTACTAGAACATGTATTTTAACCTCTTAAGCCACGATAATACCCCTGACACCCTCATTACGATAAGTAACCTATAAAGACTATAAAAGTTTGACTTGAATTCATAGGACACAATTTAATTGAGAAATAAAAAATATGATTTGATTAAAAGTAGAGAACTTTAAGTAACTTTTTAAAGTAGATTTTTTACTTTATTTGTTTTCCTTTGTATTAAAGTATATATCCCTATTAATAGATACTATGGATTAGGGTTAGAGATTAGTTTGTCCGTGATAACTCCTCTCGTGTTATTCTTTTTTTGATATTAGTAAATTTCTCCTCTTCTCTATGTAAATTTTTTCCGAAAGAGTTTTCTACGTAAAATCTTGGTGTCTATTTTGTTGGGTGATCATTATGCATGTCATTATATTATAACAAATTGGTATTATAGTGATACATGAATCACAAGGCTCACACCAAAAGAAGATGGATAAACGCCTACAATTGATTCACATTACCAAGCCTCGGAAAAGAACAGAATAGCAGCGGACTTGCGATTGCTTTTTGAATGATATCATGTTGTTATTTGGTCAACATGTCTTCTGGAGTTACGACCAACTCTCTCTTAGTTTTCCAATGGTTCTTGAATCGTATTAATCCGATATCGTGAACTCAATATACACCCATTTTAGTGAATACATCGCATGCAGAAATTGATTATTACGAATTTTTAATATTTTTATTGACTATTTGTAATATAATTTAATATAGGATGATGCATTATCTTTTTTGATTATATTTATTATTTTATTAGGAATTAAGATAGAGTTAAAATAATTATCTTTAGTTTATTGATACTAGGAATTAAGATAGTATTTTATTGTTATTTTTATTATTATTTTCAAGTATTAGTCATACTACAATTAGGACTCCTTCACCCTATATAAAGGATGCTTCTCCCACCATTGAAAACACATATTTTCTTTAATACAATACATTGAGAGATTATCTTTGCAATTGTTGATTACTTTTTCCCTCAAAGATTCTTTTCATTAAGTTCTTTTCAAGTTCTTTGTGAGAGAGATCTTCACACTCCGGTTTCCCTCTTCATTGCGATTAGGAGGGCTATTTAGAGCTAATTATTGAGTTTTCCTAGTTAATTATGACTAGGAGGGTTCGTAGGACATTTACCCAATGATCTCCATCATCTTCATCATCATCATCAACTATACGCCCATCTCTACCTTATCCACAAGTTTGTGTTAACACCTATAAACCAGGGGAAATCTCAAACTCAGTTTTCTCTTAATCTATTTATCCTTTTTCAATTTCGTTTACGTATATACATTCCTTATTTAATTATCTTTCTATCGCCTACTCACTTATCTTATTCTATGTCAGAATCAATGTTGTCAAAAACTCTAATTTAGCTAAGTTCTTCATATCTTATTTCATTCATTGTCCTTATCTTTCATTGTCTTTACATTATCCTTATCTATTCGTTGTCTTAATCTCTTATTTATCTCAATTTCCAGCAACCATAATTCATACATCATCATTCTTTGTCGTCGCCCATATTTACTCTTTCCCTTTCATTCTTTGATCGAGTCTAGAGCTTTCTAAGTTTGATTCTTCAACGAGAGAAACATTCATTCATCTATTGATGTATCTTTATCACAGAGTGTTCGGGTTGTTTAACTCGATCACGATAATGACATCTTTAAAGTATGAGAAGTCGATATTTGATCGCATAAACATATTCAAATTATGAAAGGTAGTGAAGTACATAAATTTGAAGAGCTCTCTTATTCTAATGAAATGGCACAGGAAGACTGTCAAGTTTTATATTTTACAAGATTTAAAAATTATAAAATATGAACTATTATTTTTTCTTTCATGGTAAATAAGGATTTTGTGTTGAAAAAACAACCATGGACATAATGATTTTGGGAGTATAAAAGTGTTCTATTTCGTGGGCATAACATATTTGAGAAGAAAAAGAGAGTCCAGTTCTTTGGGCATAACAAATTTGAGAAGAAGAAAATTTAGTTCCGTGAGTATAATGGAAAAAGACATAATTACTATTGATGATCAGGATGATGTTGCGCATGATATTGCTTGTAGTGATCAAGTTGTGAGAGAAGTTAGCACTTACAATTTTTTTTACCGATGTGAAGACTAAATCCTAGTTTCACCAAGCTTTGGATTCAATTGACAATCATTGTTGAAGAATCTCGCTCTAAGGGGATTTGTGGAAGAAGTGGAGAATATGTTCTCAAAGTGAAGAACTTGTTCGTTGAAGTGAAGAATTGTTTTTGTTGAGTTTAAGTGTGTCATCGAATTTGGGTGTTTTGTCTCAAATCCTTCGCACTTTCAAAATTCGTGTCAAGATAGTGATTTGTTAAAGTTTGACCCGAATTCAAAGTGGCACAATTTAATTGGGAAAGTAAAAAACCTGATTTGATTAAAAGTAGAGAACTTTATTAAAATAGTTTTTTATACAATATATTTTTACTTTATTTAGTTTCTATTGTAATAATAAACTATTCTTATATTTTCTTTTCTTGACATTAATGAATTTATCCTTTTCTGCCCATAGTTTTTCCCGAAAGGGATTTTCACGTAAAATCTTGGTGTCTATTTTATTGAGCGATTATTATGCATTTTGTTATATTATAACAATAACAAATATCTAAATATAATAAAAATATATTATAGATCATAAATTTAATATGTTGAAATATATATTTTTTACAAAGTACTTAAAAGAATAAAATTAATAACACCTATGTACTCATCTACTCTCAAGTAACATGTAACCTCATCATAAAAATAATATTAATAAAAAACATTAAAATAATAAAACACTATTTATGTAACACCCATTTCCCGTATATGTTTCCGTACACGAGTCACATATGTCATATGACTTTTGAAACATTCTCGATACTTGAAAATCAGTAAAATTTTCGTTTTCTTTAGATAAAACCATTTAATAATATAGATTTATAAGTCATTCTTCAATTATATATATTAAACACGTCTACTCCTATTATCAATACTAGTTCATGTTAAAAATCAATATAAGACGATCCAGTTAAACTATTACAAACTAATTTCCAAAATATTTAAATAGAGCTAATAGGACATTCATGAGTTCATGCCACTAAACTAAGTCAAATATTTCATCATAGGATGTCTTATACTGATATTGCAATATATTCCTTGATGGTTGGAGTTGCTCAGTACTCTTTACTTCTAATCTCGGCTTTTACCTACGCGTGAAACCAACACACGCTAAGTTTTTAGTTAGTGAGACATAGTAATACAAAATAAATTATACTTAAATATAAGCATATCCCAAATTATCAAAATACAAATGAAAATCGTATAATTCATATCAATACATCAAATAAGCTTGGCAAACCAATCTTCAATCAAATAACATGATAACTATCTTTAGTATGCCCAACATACCTGTCAATTAGTATTTTCTAATTTATCCATTGTTTGTCCAATACATGTTGAATGAACATGCCTAGTACATGAGTTGCACCTAATTGTCGTAATTAAAACATAAGTATATCATAACTATTAAAATACGAATTTATTTTTTCATAACATTATAAGTCCGTTGGGGTGCACACGTAGTGCCGATACGGTCGTTCATAAACATATTATGAATTATGTGGGTTGCACACTTAATACTGATACGGTCGTTCATAAACTTATTATGAATTATGTGGGTTGCACACTTAGGTGGTGTTTGTTTTTGCAGAGGTAAAAGGTCTGCAGTCTGCGGACCACATCTGCAAGCATCTACAGCAGAAGAGGTGGACCAAAAGTCTACAATCTGCAAGAAGAAGATTGCTTGTTTTTTAACGTATGCAAACTGCTAAAATAAACTGAAATATAAATAAACTGATTTTTTAAACTATACTAAAATAACCATTTTTGCTATTAATTTTTTAAAAATTATAAAATGTCATTAAATTTAATGAATTATTACAAAATAGTCACTATATGTTGTAATAAATTATAAAAGTTCGATAATATAATAATTATTTTAGTATTTAGATAAATTTAATAATTTTATAATCTTTTAATAAATTTAATAAGTATTTTATAATTTTTTAACTTTATTGACGAAAATGATCATTTGTATATAACTCAATGATATCTAATATACTTTATTTGAAAAAATATATTAAATAATATTATACGAATTTTATTGTTAAATTATTACATCTACGACTATTAGATTTTGGTTTTAATACTATATCATTTTAAAAATTATTATTAAATCAATCGATAATGAAATCAATTTGATTTTAATTCAATCTGTTTGTTTCGGTTTAAGTAATTGTTAAAAAATTATATTTTAATTCTCATTATTATCGATTCACAAATATATCATACTCAATTTTATAATATCATTTAATCATCTTAATTTATTCGAGTGGTACAATTCGATTCTAGTAACATCAAAAATGTATATATAATATATACTCCATATAATATACATCAATTAGTATTTTTCTATTTAGAAAAAAAAAATATTATTTGTTTTTTATTTATTTATTCTGTAAAAGGGACTTTCGTACTTACCAGAATTAAATGATAATCAGATTTTTCATTAGTGTGAATATTTTTTATTAAACATTTATTTTGTCTTTAATGCTAATAATTGTATGTCCCCGTGATTTTCTAAGTTTTATATAAAAAAAGTTTACTAAGTTTAATTGTATAATATTTTTTCAAATAAAGTATATTAGATATCGTTGAGTTATATACAAATGATTATTTTCTTCAATAAAGTTTAAAAAATTATAAAAATACTTATTAAATTTATTAAAATATTAAAAATTATTAATAAATTTATCTAAATACTATAAATAATTATTATATTATCAAATTTTATAATTTTACAACATTATAGTGACTATTTTGTAACAATTCATTAATTTAATGACATTTTATAATTTTTAGAAATTAATAGCAAAATGGTTTCTTTGAAGAGGTTAGAAGAGCTTTGAAGACATAAGTCCACGTCTGCGCCAATAAGAGAACGTACAGACGTTTGAAGAGCTTCTGTCTTCTAAAAAACAAGCGGTCTGCGGAGCCCAATGTCTGCGAGTGGTCTGCGCGGCGTAGACATAAGAGCTTTGAAGACCTTAAACAGTGAAAACAAACACCACCTTAGTGTCGATACGGTTGTTCATAAATATATTATGAATTTCGTGGGTTGCACACTTAGTGCCAATACGGTTGTTCATAAAAATATTATGAATTTCGTGGGTTGCACACTTAGTGCTGATACTGTCATTCATAAACATTATGAATTCCGTGGGTTGCACACTTAGTGCCGATACGGTCGTTCATAAACATATTATGAATTTTGTGGGTTGTACACTTAGTGCCAATATGGTGGTTCATAAACATATTATGAATTTCGTGGGTTGCACACTTAGTGTCGATACGATCATTCATAAACATATTATGAATTCCGTGGGTTACACACTTAGTTCCGATAGTGCACATAGTACTTATATAAAAAGGCAACATATGCATTTAACAACATGCATCTATAAATTTTAATGTACATAATAAATGCACTCACTTGGTATGCCTCACTAGAATGCTATAATGATGTCTGACTACTCGGAAACTTTATCCTAGCCCATTTTCTTGCTTGACTCTAGAGTTTGGTTACGATCTACACAAGCATCCATTATTACACATACAATACAAATGTTAGTATACTATCTAACATTTATACTTTAATAATACCTAAAAAGTACTATTATATTCAATTTCTATTAAAATTCATCATATCTACAACATTTCAGGCTCAATAGTATCGGTAGCCCTAGTATGGTATCGATATTTCTATATTATGGTACTGATACTCCCTTCAGTATCGGTACCATTTCTGCATTCTAGAATCCATGGTATCGATACCCACAGCAGTATCGATACTGTTCATCCTATTTTCCCAAATTTAAACCTATAATATCGGTATTGTTCTTCCAATACCGATACCCTTACCCAAATTTTTCGTTTTTCAGCTCGATTTTTACCCAAATTTCATTTAAATCTCTTACTTTTACCTCCAACAATACCATTAAACTCATCATTACTTAGTCCAACCAACTTTCCTTCATTAATCTTCCTATAACATCCAAATTCTCTGAAGAACACTCCAAACCAAGAATCACACTACGTTTTCCAACATGTTTTTAGGGTCTGTTTGTTTGGCTGTAATTGGTTTTCCGGAAAATGAATTACTGGAGTTTGAATTACTGGAATTTGAATTACTGGAAAATGAATTACTGGAATTTGAATTCTGGAAATGAATTACATTTCTGGAAAATGAATTACATTTCTGGAAAACATCTGAAAACGTTTTATGATGTTTGAAGATGTTATTTAAACATTTTTTTCACTAGTTGAAGAGTTTTTTAAAATTATTTATTACAAATATTAAATATATAAATAATTTATTTAAACATTATTTATTAAAGTAATGCTATATTATATTTTTAAAATATTAATTAGTATATTTTAAATATCTTTACTAAAATATTTTGAAATATAAATAATATTATTCATTATTAAATATATAAAAAATTTATTTATATTATTAAATAAAATAAATATCTTATATTATTATATATAATTGATTATTTTATATAATATTAAAATTAAAGTAATAATGCTATATTATTTTTAAAATATTAATTAGTATTTTAAATATCTTTACTAAAATATTGAAATATATAAATAATATTATTCATTATTAAATATATAAAAAATTTATATATTATTAAAATAAAATAAAATATCTTATTATTATAATAATTGATTATTTTATATAATATTAAAATATAATATAATATTATTATAAATATTAATAAATATATTTTAAATATTTTAATAATTAATATTTTGATGAAAATGATATTAAAATATTTTATTAATATTAAATTCATAAAATAAAATTATTTTGAGTATTTTTACTTTGAAGTGAAAAGTTCGGAAAATGACTTACGGAAAATGAATCTGTAAGTCATTTTACAGAAAACACAAAGGAAATCATATTACTAGGAAAATGAATTACATTCCGGAAAACGAATTACGTGAAACAAACACGGGAAAACGTTTTCCGGAAAACGAATTACGTGAAACAAACACGGGAAAACATTTTCCGGAAAACGAATTACGTGAAACAAACACTGAAATTCGGGGAAAACCAATTCCGTAATTCGAATTACGGGAAACAAACAGACCCTTAATCACATCCAAGGCTTCTAATATCTTATTTACTTATTTGACAATTCAAATTTACTTGTAATCCTCAATAAAAACTCATATTTCATCATATCACTCAAAAACCTATTTTCTTCAGTTTCAATTAATTCACTAATCACTTAGTTTTAATCATCATTGAACTCTCCTTAAAACTCTATTCACTTAAGATTTCAAAACCAGCCCATAAACTAAAGGAAAAACCACTTGAAGAAAACTTACTTTTGGCTATGAGGAGAGCACATGCAAAGGAGAAGAAGAAGGAAAAGAAGAAAATAACTTAGCTTTTTAACTTTTTCCCTTTCTCTCTTAAATCCCTAATAAAAATGAATTTTAAATCTATTTCCCTCTAAAGGACCAAAACACCCTTTCATTATTCCATTCTTACTAATTGGTCTTAATCAAATCATTTCTTATACTTTACCATTTATTCAATTTAACCCTCCAAATTTTAAGTCATTTCAATATAATCACTGACCTGATATTTGGGGAATTACAATTTAAATATGTGTAAAACCATTTAAATATTAAATTAATATAAAATAAAAAATATTTAATAAATTTAAACTTAAAATATTAGCCATCAAGTAAAAAATACAACAACATATCTATTGAAAAACTATTATTCCAAGACTATTATGATCCAAAAGGTATATGAATTGTATAATAACTAATAAATTGATGGAGATAATATTCTCAACATTTGAAGAAAAATATTATTGCTAATAAAAAGTTATTATCCGAAGAGAATAATGTTAAACCAAAAATGAAAATGTAACTCTGAATAATTATGACTTAATAATATTTTTCTTTGAATTAATCAAATCCTAAATATATTAATTTTTTTTACATAGAATGTGATTACTTTTAATGTTCTTGTTCATAAACAAAGTTTTTCAACTCTCCAAGGTTAAATGTTATATTGGAGATGCTAATTATTATAACAAAAAAAGTAGATGATAATTAATTTGATCCATGAATATATAATATACTAGTAATGAAAGTATTTTCTTCACAAGTTATTTTAGTTATTATCATATTATCTTAATTAATAATTGAACAACACATGATATGACAATGAATATTAATCACGTGTAGAGAAGAAAATCTAATAATAAATAATATAACAAGTCTACAATAAATGGTTACAACATGTATTTTAGATTTATGAATGTATGAACGTTTGATGTTCATGATTAACATATACAAATGAATAATAATCATATAAAACATAACAAATTAAGTTTTTTTTTGGGTTAATATTGGTTTCATCTTTGATTTGTCATAAATTGAACGATATGATGTGTTATGAAACATATCAAACACTAATAGGACATGTTCAACTTCAACAACATTCCGAATGAATTTTCTCATTCAATTCTTAATCAATTTTCATGATTTTTGAAGCATTACTTTCCTTTGTTAATGTATTATCCAATGAGATCAAAAAATTTGACATTAAAACTAAGCATCCTCCTAAATTCCACTCAAACCACAATAACATCATGGTAAACCATGATTTTGACCAATGTTGCTTCAAAATTGAATTTCTCACAATTGAAACAACCACAACATATGTAAAAATATTCATTATAAAGCCTATATAATAAACTACACAATGGGAAAAAATTCAGATTTTTTCATGAAATATAACTCATGTTATGCTCAAATCAACCGAGACCAAAAGCACACCTCAAATGTTGAAAACATCTAATTCGACCTCATTCCTCCATACTCCATTGTTTTCCACCCCATAAATCTTGAACCGTAGATAACGTCTTATCCAACGATCCGTATTTAAACTTAAAGACAGACAGAGATCCGCGTAATGGTAATCTCCGCCAATCAAATCTCATCAAATGTATACCGTCTCTCACATTCCTGTATTTAAATAGATTCATTACCACCAGGCCCGGAGAAATCCCGGAGAAGCCAAGGCTGCTACGAAATCCGGCAGAGCACGGAAAGCTAAAGATTCTAAGCCAAAGAAAGCTGCAGCTCCGAAGAAGCCACGAACAACTTCTACTCATCCTACTTATGAAGAGGTTTTTAATAGTTCATATTATTTTTGTTCTGCACTTTTGATTATGTTTAATGTTTTGATATATGGTTGGCTCTGTTGCAGATGATAAAGGATGCGATTGTTAGCTTAAAAGAGAGGACGGGTTCAAGTCAATACGCCATTACTAAATTCATAGAAGGGAAACAGAAACAGCTTCCTGGGAACTTTAAGAAGCTTTTGCTATTCCATTTGAAGAAGCTTGTGGCTGCTGGGAAGTTGACTAAGGTTAAGAATTCGTATAAGCTACCTCCGGTGAAGTCCTCGAAGCCGGCGATTACTGCTTATGCTCCAGCCAAGAAGAAACCAGATGCTACTAAGCCTGCTTCGAAGGCCAAGGCAGGGAAGAGTGCTAAATCTGGTTCTAAAGCTCCAGCTAAGAAGAACACTCCTAAGCCCAAGAGCAAGCCGGCGACCAAACCAAAGGCTGCTCCTAAAGCTAAGCCTGCTCAGACGAAGATTAAGGCGGTGGCTTCTGTGAAGCCGAAGACTACTCCGGCAGCCAAGTCGAAGGCTGCAGCCAAGCCTAAGGATAAGCCGGACAAAGCCGCGAGGACTTCGACAAGGACTACTCCTGGGAAGAAGGCGGCTCTTCCTCCTCCTAAGCCAGCTGCAAAGAAGGCTCCGGCAGCTAAAAAAGCTCCGGCGAAGGGTGTTAAGCCGAAGAGTGTCAAGTCACCGGCAAAGAGAACCACGACGAGAAGAGGAAGGAAATGAGAGGCTAGTAGTCATTGTAGGGGTAGTTTTGTAAATTTGAGTGTTGAAGTTTAGTGAATGTATTTGGGTCAGTGTATAACCGAGAGAGAAATATGACATCGGATCTTAAAACTGTTCTCTTACACCCTTTTATTTCAATGTTAAATTTCTAATTTTCCTTAGAAATTTCCCGTTTAATAGATGAAATTAGAACCCTGATCTTATTCTCGTCATCTTTCATTTTTATTCGTTAAAATGATTAGGGTTTTATCATTTACATTGCTCGGAATAGATTAAAAACCCCGATACCTTGTGGAACAAGTTGCGTGGAACACCGGATGGTTAAGCTCATATCTGCAGCTGCACTGATTCGAGACATGGAAGCTAAGGTTTGGGTTTCTTTTCAAATATTCAAATTCGTATAATTATGTCGAATAGTGAGAACGATATGAGCTGCCATTGTTGATCAAATTAATCATGCCTGGTTTGAATTTGAGGGACATCGAGTTTACTTACTTTTCAAGCAAATTTAAAAGCTCTGCATTTATTTGGAATGGGTTCACCTAATTTGGTGGACGGTTTAAACATTGGTTGGTTCTAGATTTGAATTGATTTCCATTGTGAGAGTTATTCCATGAAAAACTTTGGATACCTTTAGGTTTCAGGTAGTTGAGTAGAGATTGGGGGAAAATGAATGAATAGAGGTGGGGAGTTCGCATAATCACTTTGCCGAAAATGGGAATTCTTGAAGATTTGATCTGCTTGTACTTGTGAACTTCAAAGTGAGTATAATATCAGGTTTCATTTAGGGAGAGATCTTAACTAGATATTGCATTCAGTCTTGATTACCATTAACAAGGGTTGGAAGCTAGCATCCATGCTCTTTCTTTAGTTGTAGTTGTGCATGTCTTTAAATTTGATGGTTGATGATGATAATATTTGGGTTGTCCTAGTTTTAGGTGAAAGAAAATTACGACCAGTATGTAGACGATGGTTGGCCGGTGTTCAGATCTTTTGTTTCCATAGAAAGCATGCTCAGTTTGCATTAATTGAATTGTGGAGTAGGAGTTTATTTTGCTTAAGTTGCTGCTGCTGCTCTTTTTCTTTTAATTACCCTTTTGGAGTTCCAATATTCAGCACCAAACCAACTGATACTAGCAGCAGATTAATGGGAAATTCATTTTTCAGTTCCAGTGTCTGAACTGAGCTTTGCAAGTGACAAAAAATCATATACATATGCTTCGTGATTTCAATACAAGCTTGATAGACATTCTTGGTCATAACTAAATAAAAAGGTTTTGAGAAACCTTCTTCAGCTTGCAATTTTTGTTGGTAAATATTCATAAGATTGAAACTCAAATTAGAGCTGTGCCATTGTTTCCACTTTCTTGGTTGTAAACTTCAGCTCCTTTTGAATGTCTAGTCTAGAAGGTGATAGTACAATGTCTTTCCAAATTGAACCAGCTTCACAAGACGGGTTGGGATGCTTGTAAAGTTCGTATATGGACTAGGCGTCTTCGTTCAGCCTCGCCACCTGCTTTAAACAGTCGATCTCATCTGGATCAACTAGCAAGGTTCTTTCTCTGTCTTTCCATCCTATCAACTTCACAAAAATTGTTATGTTAACGTTACATGTTTGGTTGCATGTAGTAATTTTGCTAGCAATAAAAGTTCCTGCTCAATTTTATTTGTTTATTCCTGCATGCTGCAGCTATGGACTATTTTCTCTTCCTCCTAGATTTTAGTTTCAGGTCTGTAATGTAGTAAAAGTAGGTTTCTGAGTTTTTCTCCATGAAATTTGATGATGGAACAAATGGGAAATGAAAGTTATAAGCGGTTCACCTCGTTTGGTTTAGGCGAAAGACCGCAGTCGGTGGAGGAGCAGCCGTTGGCTGGTATCTAAGTCTGTAAAGGAGGATAATGAGTTCCATCCCTTCTCTCGATCTTGATTGAGAGGTTTTTCATCGACTGGTAGTGTTAATGTCAGTCGTTGGGTCATTACATATATCCATAGGTTGGCACTCTAAGTGGATATGATTAGCTGTCAGTAGACTTAGTTCTGGTAGGTCACGTGAGCCTGTTAGAGGTTTGAGATCGGAGGTACAACAAACTTCTACCATCTTAGTGATACAAGATGGACCATTCTGATATAATCAGGCTCTGTTCTAGCTGTTCTGACCTTAGGTTCCCAGAGCTAAAATTCTGAACTTCTAGTTTTATGCCACTAGAGAATTTAAGATTGAAAATGTTGGATAGTTTATTCACCTTAGGTGGACCTTCAAGAACATTGATGGAATATAGCCTAGCATTGTCAACCAGTTGGCAGTATGTTGGAAATGCATTTGCAAATCTCTTGTGGGATTTCAATTGTGATTTCACCCTTACAGCTCGTCTACACATTATAGCTCTCCTGTAAATATTGAATCCTTTGATAAAATCAGTATCTCAGGTAAAGGATAAAGGACATATTACTTGGTTGAAGAGAAAATAGGCATTGCCGTACCTTATGCCTCTAATAACCACTAAATAGGCGTTGCAAACAACCCCGACCAACTCTATTCTGTATGGCTTCCTCTTTTTACCTCCTTTTGGAGATTGATCTCCTCCAATTTGTTCCCAGTAATTTTCAATTACAGTCCCATCTGGTTCTTGCCTGTAACCAACCCTCATACGATATCGCCGGCGGTGGACACATCTGGCCCTAGTTATTGTTTGCAGAACAAATGGTATCCAGGAGAGTGTTCCATCCATGATCACATCTGTGGATGATTGGTGCACCTGTTTGGAATTGAAAACCAAGTTCCAGGTTGATGGTACCATAAGAGATACATATTTCGGGAACGGCTGCTACTAAAGTCGATAAGGCTGCGAAAGTGATTCTTACCAGTTCGGCTGTACGAACCATGTCTGCATGGCCTTTGGAGCTGAGGGCTCTGTATATGACATCTGATTCTTTGAATGCATCTGCCTCGATCACAACTGCATTCGCCGCCGCGCCTGCCCAGAATGGTCTGCCAATGTTTTATGCACAGCACTTGATGTAAGTTCCTTGTAATTGCTCATAGTAATAATCGAACTTTCTAGACCAGCTTTACTTATGCAGGAACAAAAGGAGACTAATTGTCTTCCATGTTACCCTATGTGTTATACATCTTTTTCAGTGCTTAAATATCCTTTGATCTTAAATGCAGGTGTAGGACACAGGCTTACTCTTTGAGAATGTCCTTAAGGACCGTACACTTTCCGGCTCCCATCCCGCCTCCCATGAATAGCAGCACTGGACTTCTATCACTGTGAGCCACTGGAGCCATTACCTCCGTACATTGAGAATCATCGGATGAGGTATGCCCCATTGCTTTCAATTCTTCAACCAATGTATTGAAAACACTAGCCACGTTCAGGTTTTTCGTCACCCTCTCGAATCTCTGTTCCCTATATTAGAAAACCGAAGTTTCTTTTGTCGAAATTAGTATTACTAGTCAGTGACAACAACAATGGTTAGAGACTATATGTAGGCTACTTTTTCAAGTTTTTCGAACCCCAAGTTTCTTTCTGTGAAAGGATATAGCTAAAGTGACAATAAAATTGGTTAATAAACAGAATATGCCCAACCTAGTTGCTGCCATGAAAATCTGCCTGAGCTTTTTCTTGGGTGCAGCATCAGCACTTAATACCTGAAACAATGTGGCATAAAACAAGTCATTTGCTCTATGTGGCAACGTACACGTACACGTACTGATTACTTGAGTTATCATGATATCTGCATGGCTCCAATGAAATGCAAAATAACTATGCATCTCTCAAATTCTTCCACAAGCTTAACATACTGCGAATCCACATCAGGCTCATTAGAAAAATACGAATATATATCGTCTTCGCAGCTTTCGCATTTCCTGATGTATTCGACTGCTAACTTGCAGAGCAATGGACAACTTTTATCTTTCAATCCCATCTGTCTAGCTGAAAACATAGATGAAAAGAATCTCAAAGGTGCAGGTAAATGAAACAAGGACAAGACATGAGATCAATCTTATTACCTATGTCGTAATCGGTTTTCGCCCGGGCACGAAATTTTTACTTGACGGGAAAAGTGATGTGAATAAATGGTTTTAAAATATTTTGAGAGTCGCCATCTGCCTTTTGGGTCAGGTAGGTCGAATACCTAAAAATTATCTTTTAAAAGAGTTTTTAAGAAAACATCAGTTAAAAGATAAACTGGTCTGCGTTTTAACCAAAATTCGTTCTTTTTAATAATAAAAAGGGATTCGTGGTCGATTACGTTTGAGGAAGGATTAGCACCCCCACAACGCCCAAAATTGGTACTCATTAATTATAAATTGTCTCTATTATTGGAAATTTAAAAATTCAAAAATATATTTAATTCATAATCCTGTTATTTATTAATATAATATATTAATATATATTTTTTAAACAAGATACTTATTTACTTAGAAATATCAGAAAAGGGCTTCTAGGTGTTTTAAGATAAATCTTTTCTTAATATAAAAAAAATAAATAAATATTGATAAAATATTTATCTAAAAATAATAAAAAATTAAATTAATATATATAATTGATAAAAGTAAAATATTTATTTAAAAATATCAGAAAATGGACATCCAATTACTTTAAGACTGCATTTTTTAATATTTAAATATTAAAAATAATAATTTTTTCTAATAAAACAAAACATGTGTTTTTTGGTTTTTATAAGTAAGATATTTATTTATTTTTAAAATATCAGAATAGGACATCTAGTTGCTTTAAGACTGCCATTTTCTTTGATATTAAAAATAAATAAATATTATTATTTAAACCAATAAATATATATATATATATATATATATATATATAAAAATAATAATGAAAGTAATAATTTACATATATATTAAAAGTAATAATAAAATAATATTGCAAATAAATAAATAAATGAAAAAAACTATAGTATTAAAATATAAATTATCTAAATTAATGAACATAACTTGAAATATAATTAATAATAGTAATTTAACCCTTAATTATTAATCAGTGATTAAAATATCAATTATTAAAATTAAAAGCTCCAATTCGAAATATTATAAAACATAAATATTAACAATGTAATTTAA